GCTACCAAAACAAACAAAAAAAAAATCTACTTATAGATGGATTATGATTTTTTTTTTTTTGAGAGTGAGAGAGATGTTTGCTATAGGGTGCATGCATTCACCAGAAAGACAAACAGAGACAGAGAGATAAAGTGAGAAATCACCTCCTAGAGGGATGGCTATGCCACAATTCCTTCTTCTTTACTCTATGGGGTTCTGGGAACACACACAACACATGTGCCCGCCGTGAGTTTCAAGCTGCCGGATCCAGGACTCAAAATGGTGTTCAGGCGTGTGGAAGTGCAGTGCTTTAACCACCACTCCACCTGCTGGCCCCATGTGGATTAAGACTTTTAAGAAATTAAAGTTGTTCTAGGGTGGACCTCTAATAATTTTTTAAAGTTGTTCTAAACAGATTACTTCCTCCCATTAACCTTCAGAGCTATGTTCATTTATTGGTCCTCAAATAATTACTTGCTTTATTTTAGTAGCAATTGTTTATATGCAGGAACCATGGTAAATGTTTTACATCAACAGAGCAACCAAGTAATCTAAATTGTTTAAATTAGGGATGTGAAGATCTAGCCACATCTTTTATCTTGACACTTAATACTTTGAAGACCTAAACTTTTCTAAGTGTTTTCATCTTCTCATGCCACCATGCTTTATCTTAAGCCTACCATTTGGTAAAATAATAGAGTTACCTTTTTTTAAAGAATTGTTTATTTATAGGGCTAGCAGGTAGCATGGTAGTTAAGGGTGCTGGACTCCCATGTGGCCAACCATAGTTCGAGTCCTGGACCTGGTGGCTTCCTTCCTCACTTTCCCTTTCTCTCTCTCACTCTGTCCCTCTCTGGTCAAATAAATAAATAAATAAAGTTAAATTAAAAATAATGTTTAAATTTAGAATTATTTAATTTTATTTTTTATTATTGTCATTATTATTTAATTTGATCAGAGAGAGAGAGAAAGCCACCGGTACGCTATACATAGTCAGCTATGCGAGTGTGCAGTGCTTTAACCACCACGCCACCTGCAGGCTTCAAGATATTTATTCTTTTGCTCTGAGGTTTTTTTTTTTTTTAATTGCTTGTTTTTAATTTTGCCAGAGAGCAGTTGCACTTGCCAAAAAGAGACAGAGGGAGAGGGGAAAAGCATCCCCTCATGAAGAATGGTCATACTGCAATCCCTTCTCCATTTCTCCATCTTGTCAGGATTTGGGGCATACAACACATGCATACCTGGTGTGTTTTTCAAGGTGCTAGGTTCAGGATTAGAACCACAGAGTTGTCCATGTAGGATCCAGTGGCCTTAACCACCAGGCCACAGAGCCAGCCCATTTACCACCTTACTATAATGCTAGAGGTAATTTGTGGTTCACTTTGAATGAGAAATAAGCAAAGTTAGAAATTTCTCAGAAATGAATATCATTCAGAAAAAGATAAATACAGTGTAATCATATACAGTGGACAGAGGTCTTCAAAAATTAAATGGAAATGTGTATTGTGAGGAAACAATATGGATTTCAGACTATTTTTACACCAAAATTAATTCATACTTTAATTCCATTTTTCTATAAACCTTTAGAGAACCCTCATTATATAGAAGAAGAAACACCAGAAATCTGTGCATTGATCATCTCTGAGTAATCTATTTTGAGTTTTTTTTTTTTTTAATTAAAAAAATTTTTTTTCCCATAGTTGTGTGAGAGAGAAGGAAAGTGAGAAGTCACCCCCAGGCATGATGTCCATGCTGCAGTCTCTTCTCCTCCATTCTCCTCTCAGGATCTTGGGTACACACACATGTGCCCAGCATGATTTTTGAGCCACTGGGTCAGGGACTTGAATTGCAGTCAATTGGTCTGAGTACCTTAACTACCAGCCACTTGCTGGCCTTTATCTTAGTACTTTTATGTTTTCCAAATTTCTACAAAGAGCTTACTTAGCACTTCTTGTAGTCAAGGAAAGTAATCATGTGTCCTTATGTAGTTATTACATTAAAAATTAGGTTTATAGGGACTGGCCCTGTAGCACAACAGCTAATAACTGTGCATAAAGAACCAGACCCTGCATAGCTGACCATGGTTCAGACTTTGGCCTTAGCAGCTTGAAAAACTTGGCAGATATATGCTTGTGTTCGTTCCAGATCTTGACAGGATGGAGTAATGGAGGAAAAAAGATTACGATATGACCATACCCCATTGGGTGGTATGTAAGTGCACATAATTTTTAAAATGCACTTAGTGGGACCAACAGGTGGCATTGTGGTAAAAGTGCTGGACTGACTACAATTCCAGTCCCAGACCTGATAGCTTAAAAATCATGCTGTTCATGTGTGCACATGCATGCCCAAAATCTCAGGAGAATGGAAGAAAAGTGATTATGCCATGGCCATCCATGGGGGGGAGGTGATTTCTCACTTTTTCTTTCCATCTCTTTCTTTGTCTCTCCAGCTAATGCATACATTCTATGGCAAAAACCTTTTTAAAAAATACACTTAGTAAGAACAACAATAAAGATTAGACTTGTCAATGAATTGTCTTATTGGGTACTGATTATTAAATAACCTAAAACTTCAAAGAAAAAACTTTTTTTTTTAGGAAAAAAATAAAGCTTCCATCTTAAACTCAAGTAAGATTGCTAGGAGCTGGCCCCACAACACAGTGGCTAAGTGCTAGGCATTGGAAACAGGATCCCATATGGAAAAATCTCAACTGGGAAAATATGTGCCTGCATGCATGCCCACTTCTTGATGGGGAGGAGGAAAGAGATTTCGGCATAAAATATGCTTCACCAGAGGATACTTTCTCCCTTTCCCTCTCTGGGCATACCTACCTTCCCCAGTACCTCCCATGTCTCTCTGATGAGCACATTCACCCTCTGGCAATTAAAAGAAAAAGATTGAGGAGCTAGCAGGTGGTGTAGTGGTTAAGAGTGTTGGACTCCCACATGACCAACCATGATTTGAGTCCCAGACCCGGTGACTTGCTTTCTCACTCCATCACCCCTGTCAATTTTTTTTTTTTAAATTAATGATCATAAATAAAATTAATTCTTTTTTTTAAAAAAGATTGCTATACATACTTGTAGGTATTCTGTTGTGTTTTTTTTTTTTTTTTCTAAAATTAACTCTCTTCTTCAGGATTCAAAATTATGCAGACTAGAGCCTGATAAATCAGAATTGGAAAACTCTGGATTTGACAGAATGAGTGAAGAAGAGCTTCTGGCAGCTGTCTTAGAAATAAGTAGGAGAGAAGCTTCGCCGTCTCTAAGTCATGAAGATGATGATAAGCCAACGAGCAGCCCAGATACTGGGTTTGCAGAAGATGATGTTCAAGAAATGCCTGAAAATCCAGACACTGTAGAAACTGAGAAGCCCAAATCAATCACAGAGCCAGGTAGGTTTAATGAAGATGAACATCTATTAAACAAAGCATAACATTCTAAAGCATAGTATTCTAAAGCCTTATAGTGACAAATGGTTTCTAAATAATGGGAGATAATGTAGATCTCTATAGAGCAGAGCTGATAATATTTTCATGCTTTATTTCTAAAAACTTTTAAAAATAAAAAGTAAATACTGTGTCTAGTACCTAGATACTAGTGGTAAAGTATGCCATATTCTTTTAGGTGTGCATCAGAGAAACGGAAACATTCTTAATGTGCATTTAATGCTTGTGTCAGTTTCAGTCACTTTTCTCTCACAACTGCTATATCATAAATTCATATAATTTTTTCATATTTCTATATCTGAATTTGTACCAAAGTTTAGTATGTAAATAATTCAAGCCCTCTATCCTGTGTTGTATTTGTAAATAAGGGTAGAAAGACCACTGAACCAAGAATTAAGGTCTTTGGCCTCTGGATAAACCATTTATTAGCTATAAATTCTTTTTTTTTTTTAAGAGAGACTTTTGCTATAGGGCATGTGCACTTGATGGAGAGACAGAAAGCAAGAACTCAATCCCCCAGGAGGGAAGGTCACACTGCAGTCTCTTTTCCTCCATTCTCCTCTCAGGATCTGGGGCACATATGCACATGCACCCTGCATGAGTTTTAAGCCCCCAGATCCGAGACTCAAACCAAGGTTGACTACGTGGGAGTCCAGCAACATAACCATTGCAACATCAGCTGGTCCCAGCTATGAATTCTTAAATGGATAATATAACTCCCTTGATACTTAATTTTCTTATTTCTATATGGATTCTGCCAGACATACTTCAGAATATTATGGATGGGATATTAGGTAGTATATACCTACAATGCAAAGTGCTATACAGATAATAAAGTTATTTTAGGTTTTGTTTGTTTGTTTTTGGAGAGGTTTTTGCTATAGGGCACGTGTGCTCGCCAGAAAGACAGAGACATACAGAGACAGAAAGCGAGAAATTACAATCACCCCCCCAGGGGGGATGGCCATGCCGCAATCCCTTCTCCTCCAGTCTCCTCTCGGGATCTTGGGCATGCACATGTGCCCAGCGTGAGTTTTAAGCCACTGGGTCCGGGACGTGAACCGCGGTCGACTACATGGGAGTCCAGCAACATAGCCATTACGCTAACTGCTGGTCCCTTGTTTGTTTGTTTTTAATGAGAGAGAGGTGGGGGAGAGGTATTCTCCACAGGATCTCTTCACATTACAGTCTCCCTGCTCCAGCCTCCCAGCTAGCCAGGATTCTAGGCACATGCCATTGTAACTGTCTTAGGTTAGTTTAGAATCAAACACAGGCCCTCTGTGTGGTTCCGTCCTCATGCAGTGGCACCTTACCCTTGAAAGAGAAATGAAAACCTATAACCCTCCTAAAGAGGAAAAAAGAAAAGTTCAAGGATCCTAGTGGGTCTTAGTGCACTGAAGAGGCCTTCCCTTGAACTTTTTTCTTGTTCTGAGAATCACTCAAAAATCAAACCAGAATGTCCTTGCCTACCCATCGGTGACAGTGCAGAGAAATTGGGTGAGATGTGGAATGACACTGCTACAGATGACAAGCAACTTTGTGAAAAAAAAGAAAAAAAAAAAAAGGCCTCTATACTGAAGGAAAAATAGAAAAGGGATATTGCTACATACCAAGTAAAAGGAAAACCCATCTGATACGGCAAAAAAGGGAGATATTGAGACTGAAAAAGGCAAAAGAAAATGAGGAAAACAAATTTCAAATATGATGGTGCTGAATAAGTTGGTTCTAGTACAGTTTTGTTCCTTGTCTGTAAAATATTTAACCTCCTATACACAACTTTTTTAAAGAAAAAAAATGAAATATAAGACTATGTGAGATTTGTTTTTGGTCTATACAGTGTCTTTTTATACAGCTAACATACTTCTGAACATGTCTTCAAATAACCATTTTGGTGGTTTCTTCTCCTCCTCCTCCTCCTCTTCTCTCCTTTCTCCCTCCCCCCCTTTTTTTAAATTTGCCAGTGGGTGTGTAATGTACACTCACCAAAGAGAGAGAGAGAAGGAAAGTAAGAAACACCCCCCTGGGGCATGGTCATGCCACAACCTCATCTCTGTTTCTCCCTCATTTTGGGATTTTGGGCATGCCCTGTACACTAACACCTGGTGTGCTTTTCTAGCCTTCTAGGTTTAAGACTCAAACTGCCCAACTGGCCACATGGGATCCTGCTGCCTTTACCACCATGTCACGAGCTGGCCTTCTTTTTTTTTATTATATGATAGCACATGAGTGTGCATAAGAAGGGATAGAGAGAGACGCTCACCCTCAACCAGGTTCTGTCATGGGATCTTCATTCCCCAGGCCTCCAGCTTATCAGGATCCCAGGCGCCCATGTGTATACCCAACATGTTTTCAGACTAACCTAGAGATATGAACCTATGGTCAAGTATGCAGCCTCCAGCACCACAGTCCAACACACTACAAACTGCGCCACCTAGGTTGGGCCCCTGGTGCTACTTCAAGAGCCACTAACCTTAACCTCCTGGTAAAGTACAGGAGCTATAAATTGGCATAGAAATTTAGAGCAAGCTCTTCTTGGTGCACACCACGAATCAGTTAATTTGTGGAAATGGGAGCTTTTTCATCTTCATCTGGCTCTGATGCAGATTATATGAAATAATTGTTCTGTTAACTATTGCATTTCTGTAGTTGCAAAAAAGAAAAAAGTTGCAGCTATTTGTTGGTATTCTGGATACTTCTAAGTAAATATAATTTATTAGTTTTTTATAAAAAGCCTCTGGTGACCTTATGTTCCTCTTCAGCTATTACTTCCTTACTTTGTTCTTCTCACAGCAAAATTCCTTGAAAGCCGTTTCATTCATCCTCTTTACTTTTTTTTTTTTTTTTTTTTTTTAATTTGCTGTAGAATGTGTGTGTTCCCAGGAAGAAACAGAAAGGAAGAGAGAGGAAGAGAAAGTGAGAAAGCATCCCCCAGTGGGGATGACCACACTGCAGTCCTTTCTCCTCCACTATCCTCAGAATTTTGGGCATACATGTCCAATGTGTTTTTTTAAGCCACTGGGTCCAGGACTCAAACCACGCAGTAGGCCAAGTGGAATAGAGCTACCGTAACAACACTCCACCTGGCTGACCCCATTCTCTTTACTTTTACAATCTTGCCTTCTCTTATCAGCCCTGTCCAAATAGGATTTCATCCCCATTATTCTACTGACATGGTTTTTTTTTTTTAATGCTCCATAAGTTTATATTTGTTAATTTTGATATTAGAACATTTAAACATTTCAAACTACATAAAAATATGACAAACAATATAAAATAGAAGGAAATTTGTTGACAACTTACTTCCAGAACATCACTATTTCTTATATTGCAATTAAGCAACAAGACAGTTTACACAGCTCTCCGGAAAACATAGTGTTTTAGTGGAGTGTTATTAACAAAAATCACCACAATCCCACACAATAATGTCTCCAATTTATTATCTTTTCCACAGTACACATTTTTCACAAACCATAAATCCTTTGCAGTTTTTTAAAGTCTGTAAACAGGTGCCTGAATCCACACATCCTCCCCCACGTTGGTTTAAGTTTGTGAATGTTTTAAGTCATTTGATCAAGTTTCAACTCTTCCACTTGCAAAGGAATCAAGAGCCTCCTCTCTTAAGGTTATGTATATTTTATCATACAGCCTGCAATGCAGTATATCACAGTGAAAGCCCTGGCAAAAACAAAACGACATGATCTTTACAGCAGGACTTGAAACTTTATCATATTAAATGCATTTAAAGAAGTGTCCCATAATAAAAGAGTGAGTTTTCATTTCCAGAAATCAAGTCAATTAGAAACCCTAGATTCTACTTAAAAACCCATTTTGATCTAAAAGTGAAAACAGTCCCCTATCTATAGTCATTTTATAAACTGTATACAGTTTCTCTTGCAGAGATTTTTTTTTTTCCCAGTCTGGAAAAACAGTAGTGCAATTCGTTTTACTTCTTTTAAGTTATTTAGTCCAAGATGTAAATAGCTCTGTGGAAAGATAAGATGCTCTGGTAAACAAGAAACTTTTGCAAGCCCATGCTGGCTTACTAGTCGTTAAAGCCTATAAGTCCATAGTGGCTTCCAACAAAAATGTTGTCTAGACATCGCTAAATAACAAAGCAGAAATAAATAGGCAGCAATCTGACATGGTTTTTTAAATCAAGTTTTCATTAGTCATATTTCATACAATTCACTATTTCCTCCTTAAAACAAACTTTTTTCTTCGCACTTCCATGATACCTCACTGGATAGGATTTTTCCCTCTTACTAAATCAACTACTTTCAGTTTTTTTGTTTTGTTTTTAATTTCCTTCCCTCATCAGAATTCTTAATTGTTGGGGTACTTCTCCTCCATTCTCCTCTCGGGATCTTGGGCACGCACACACACGTGCCCGGCATGAGTTTAAGCCACTGGGTCCGAGACTTGAACTGCAGTCAACTACATGGGAATCCAGCAACATAGCCATTATGCTAACTGCTGATCCCATCTAACACAATTTTTCAAAGTAATTGGAATTTTTGCACCTAATTTTGAGTTTCTTTTCCTCTTTTAGTGATTACTCAGAATTCATTTGAATAATAAATATTCACTTAGTGATTCAGTACAATTCAAAATGATAACTGGCTACTGATTTAGTCTAAAAACCAAGATGGTATAAACTTCAGAGTTAACTGTGCTATAATAAAATATCGATTCAAAGTGTAATATTAGAGCAGGTAATGGGAATGAATGAATGAATGCAGTTCGTACAAAATGAGTGTATAAAGGTAATTCACATTGGCCAGCTAAATTATTTTTCTTTTTTGGGGGGAGGGTTTCGCTATAGGGCACGTGTGCTCGCCAGACAGACAGAGACATAGAGACAGAAAGCGAGAAATCACCCCCCGGGGGAATGGGCACGCATGCACACGCTCCCGGCGTGAGTTTTAAGCCACCGGGTCCAGGACACGAACTGCGGTCGACTACGTGGGAGTCCAGCAACATAGCCATTACGCTAACTGCTGGTTCCCAACCAGCTAAATTATTTTTGAGAATTTCTTTAATTTGTTAAGAGGATTTTTGCTTTGGTGAAGTGAGATACATAGCTAGATAAATTGTTTTGTTTTAAGGCAGGGTCTTGCTATATCATGCTCCTCTTTCCTCAGCCTTCCAAACTGCTGGGATTATAGGTGTATGACACTGTGTCCAGGCTTTAGGTTACACTAAGAATTGAACCCAGGCCTTCCATGTGGTTCCAGCAGCAGAGCACAGCATCTTAGCATTGCGGGCCACCATGGTTGGGCCATGATACAATTTTTTTTTTTTTTTTTTTTTTTTTTTAGGAGTCTCTTTTTGTTGTTTTTTTTTTTAGGTTTTTGCCTTAGGGTGTGTGTGCTTGCCAGAGAGTAGGAGGGAGAAGGAAAGTGAGAAAACACCCCTCAGAGAGGATTGCCACACTGCAATCCTTTCTTCTCTATTCTCTTGGGATTTGAGGACACATGTATGTGCACAGATGCCTGGCATGATTTTTAAGCCACTAGGTCCAGCATTTGAACTGTAATAAGCCATGTGGAAGTCCAGTGCCTTAACCACTGTGACATCCGCTGCCTCCCATGATACAGCTTTTAAAAGAAGTAAAAGATTCTTCTCCCTACTCTTACCTATATTAAAAATTCTAATGAAAAGTTGTAACTCTCACAACTCAAGTAACCAGAACAAAATTACTATCCTGTTTGTCCCAGCTAACCATAATCTGGAAATTTGGACAGAACAAAAAAAAAAAGAAAAGAGGACAAGCTGTGTTGGTGCAAGCGAATGGGTGCTAGTTCACGATGACTGAGGCCATGTGGGAGCCCTGAGTTTCATTCTTGGCACAATCCAAATAGGCTAAGAACTCAGCTGTGGTCCTAGCTAACTGGGAAGCTGGGTCAGGAGGATCATTTCGTGACAAGACCTCGTCATAAATACCTACGTCGGGGCCAGCTCTGGGTCAAACCAGTAGTGTACTGTTGAAGAGATCTCATGTGATGACCCCATTCAAATACCTGTCCTGGTCAGCTTGAAACAGGCCAGGCATGCACAAGGACCCAAGATCCAAAGGGCTAGGGGAAGGGGATCATGATATGACCAAATCTTGTGGAGCATGCTTTCTGCCCTCCCCTCCCTTTCTTTCTTCTCACATGTGCAAGCACAGATGTACTTTATCATGAATAAGGGGGAGGGGGGCTAATTATCTGTCCCATTTCCCTACTCTTCTATTAAAAGAAAAAATGAGGACCAACAGGTGGGTGTTGGTTAAGGTGTTAGACTCCCACGTGGCTCACTGCAGTTCGAGTCTTAGACCTGGCAGGTAGAAAATCATGCCAGGTGTGGTTGCATGCATGCATGTTCAAATTCCAAGGAATTGCAGTGTGGCCATCCCCCCTGGGGATGATTTTTCACTTTCTTTCTCTTTCCAGTGGGCACACACACCCTATGACAAAAACCTTTAAAAAAAATTTCTTTCTTGCTTCCCACATAAACATACATGTTGCCATAGACTTCTGCAGATTTATTACTTTTTACTTAACTCTTTTAATTTGCTGCGGTTTCATTTACTTTAAATAGTACTTTATTTCTTGTACTTGGTCATGTAACACTATAACATGTGACTATTTGTTCTTCCTGTATGCTTCTTAGGATCAGTTAGGATTCAGAACCATTACTGTGTAGGTCAATGGTTCTCGGCCAATGGCCATTTTACCCCCCATGAGACATTCATCATTGTCATTTTGGGTTGTCACACCTGTAAAGGATAAGCTCTCCAGTGCACAGGGCAGACTTTCCCATTCACTTACAAAAATTTGTCTCATTTGAAATGTTTGGTACTGGGGACCAGGCATGGTGGTTAAGGTGCTGGACATTCCCACATGGCCAACCACAGTTCGAGTCCTGAACCTGGTGGCTTGCTTTGTCACTTTCTCTCTCTCTCTTTCTCTCGTCAAATTAAAATAAACAAATGAATAAATAAAATTAAATAAAGAATTCCTTTAAAAAAATGTTTAGTAGCGATAAGATTGAGAAACCCCTTTAAATGTAGTGAGATGAAATTATATGTGCAAGGCCAGTTATAGAGGTTAGAGTAAATTACTTTCTTGACAGGAGGCATCACTTTAGTCCAGAAATTTCAGTTTATTAAAGATGATTTTTCTAAATAATGTAATGTTCTGCTTCCTCAGACCCTGCCAGTTTTACTGAGATAACTAAAGACTGTGATGAGAATAAAGAAAACAAAACTCCAGAAGGATCTCAGGGAGAGGTAGATTGGCTGCAGCAATATGATGTGGAACGTGAAAGGGAAGAGCAGGAGCTTCAGCAGGCCTTGGCCCAGAGCCTTCAAGAGCAAGTAAGATTTATATTGCTTCTTTCTGCATACTTCTCTTTGCCAAGAAGTAGAAGAATAGTAACTAACATGTTTTGAGTAATTATTATGTGTCAGGTATCGTTCCAGTTAGTTATTGTCAGGCATTATTTACAGTAAGTTACTGATCCACCAAAAACAGTTGTATTTGGGGCATGGTTTGGGTCTGAGACACTTACATCGGTAGTCCTGTTTTTGAAAACTCAAATGCAAGAAAATGTACTGTTAATTACCTTGTATTACTATGATTCATTACATGCTAAAGCAAGATAGGATATTAGAGATTATTCCCAGAACAACTTTCTAAGCTGTAGAAACAATCAGTATACCACCATGGTTTTACCATTAATATGTAAAAAATTATTTTTTTTTCTAATAGAGGTTTTGTTTTTTTGTTTTTTTGGTTTTTTTTCCTGAGAGGTTTTTGCCATAGGGTGTGTGCACTCGCCAGATAGAGAGAGACAGAAAGTAAGAAATCACCCCCCAGTGGGGATGGCCACACCACAGTCCCTTTTCCTCCATTCTCCTCTCGGGATTTTGGGCACGCACGCACATGTGCCCAGCATGAGTTTTAAACCACCAGGACACAAACCGCGGTTGACTACGTGGGAGTCCAGTGACATGACCATTACGCTAACTGCTGGTCCCTGTAGGTTTCCTTTTTACATTCCCTGTAGTCTGGATTTTTAAAAGCTTTCCCCCAGTAATTGGAATTGGCAGCCAAGATTAAAATGGTTGCTTTCAAACCATTTCAAGTCCATTTCCAGGACACCAGGTAAGTGAGAATAGAATATCTGTGGGAGCTGGGCAAAGGGAACAGGACATCCTGTCAGAGCTTGTGGATTTGAACCTCCCCATTTCTAACTCAAGATTTCGAAATACAATGTGATTCCTGTCCATTGGACTGTAATTTATATGGGTAATACTGGAAATAATGGTAACAGGACTGAATTGGAAGAGGCTTTTGGCTATTATGGACAGCTCCGAAGTGTGTGGGTACTAGAAACCTTTCTAGCTTTGCTTTTGTTGAATTTGAAGATCCCCACCGTGCAGCTGATGCTGTCTGAGAGTTAGATGGAAGAACACTAATGGCTGCCCTGTAAGAGTGGAACTGTTCAGTGGTGAAAAATAAAGTCAAAATCATGGCCCACCTCCCTCTTGGGGTCTTTGCCCTCAGGATGATTACCAGAGAAGGAGTCCTTCAACTCGCTGCAGATCTCAAAGAAGGAGAAGCTTCTCTCAGCTGGAGTTGGTCCCTTTCTAGAGATAGAAGAGAAAGATCATTGTCTCGAGAGGGAAATCACAAGCCATCCTGATCCTTCTCTAGTTCTCATAGCCAATCTAGGTCATATGAAAGGAAATAGAATACCAGTTTGCAAGAGAAATGATATACAGGAAATAACTTCATTTGGCAGGAGTATGTACAAAAAATTCAAGTTTTGTTTGAAACTTCATAAGCTTGGAGCCTTTTTTTTCTTTAAGAGGTTTTTGGCACAGGGCTTGTGCATTCGCCCAGGAGAGAGAGACAATGATAGGGAAAGTGAGAAATCACCCCCCAAGGGGAGATGGTAATCACTTCTCATTTTTCTCCTGGATCTTGGGCAGGCATATACATATTCCTGATGTGATTTTTCAAGCCACTGTGTCCAAGACTCAAATCGCTGTGGTTGGCCATGTGGGAATCTAGCAAAGTAACCACTATGCTATCTGCTGGTCCCAAACATGGTGCATTTCAGCTGTTCACATTTGTTTGTCTCTTTAAACAATAACATACATAAAGATATAATTCTCTGGTTTAAAATGGATCATGTGAGGCATGTATTACCAAGAATTACTACTTTTCAATGTTCCTTTAAGCAAAATCACTTTTGCTTTGAACTTCAGTCTTGCATAGACTGATAATAAACCTCTAAATCCTGCCCCCACCCCCCCAAAATAAACCATTTCAAAACCAGCTGTTCTCTCTCTTTCATTTATATGAAGTACTACTCTAGCTAGAGTAGTACTTTTCATCGAGAATGTAGTCAAACTATTTTACAAATAATAAATAGTAAATTATTTTAGAAAACTTAATTTTGGGACCAGAAGATGGCATAATGGTACATCGCTGGACTCCCTAGAGTCCCGTACCTGGCAGCTTAAAACTCATGCTAGGTGCTTGTGCATATGTGGCCAAAATCTAACAGGAGAATGGAGGAGAAGGGATTTCGGTGTAGCCATCACCCCTGGGGGATGATTTCTCACTTTCTGTTTCTCTGGCAAGTGCACACACCCTATAGCAAAAATCTCTCTCTCAAAAAGAAAAGAAAAACTTTTTAAAAGGGTGATTTATTGGGGCCAGCAGGTGGCGTGGTGGTTAAGGCACTGGACTGCCTTATGGCTGACTGCAATTTGAGTCCTAGACCTCTCGACTTGTGTGCACTCTCTCTCTCTCTGTCTCTCCCCCCCTCCTCCCTCTCTTGTGAGCATGTGTGCTCTCTACCAAATTAAAAAATAATAATAAATAAAATTAAATAGATTATTCTTTTTTTTAAAAGGGTGATTTAAAAATTTTTATTTATTATTATTTTTTAATTTGAAGAGAGACAGGGCGAGAGAAAGGGAAAGTGAGAAAGCAAACCACCAGGTCTAGGACTCAAACTGCAGTTAGCCACATGGGAGTCCAGTGCCGTTAACCATCATGCCACCAGCTGGCCTATAGAAACTTACTTCTAACATAAAAGACCAAGGGCGGATTTATTTGCAAGATTTCCTTATAGAACAGAAAAAAGAAAATTTACGCCCTACTTTTTCATAGATGACAGACATATATTCTGTTTCCTGTCATCTGATCCATTTTAAGCTCTTGTGTTTGTTTAAGAGGGATTTAAGAGGGACTTTTGCTTCACAGTACATGTGCTCACTAGAAACAGAAAAAGAGAAAGTGAATGGGACCAGCTGATGGCATAGCAGTTACGTCACTGGACATGACCAACCACAGTTCAAGTCTCAGACCCAGTAGTTTGAAACTCATGCCAGGCATGTGTGCCTAAGATCCCAAGAAGAGAATAGAGGAGACAGGATTGCAGCATGACCATCCCTCCTGGGGAGTGATTTCTTTCCCTTTCACTGTCTCTCTCTCTCTCTGGCAAGCACATGTGCCCTAAGGCAAAATCCTCTACCAAAAGAGAGTGAGAGAGAGAAAGTGAAAAATTACCCCATGGGGGGATAGTAACACCACAATCCCTTCTTTGTCCTCTTGGGATTTGGGGCATGCCTGCCCACACACTCAACGTGAGTTTAAATCATCTAGGTCTGAGACTTGAAGTGCTGTCGGCCACATGGGAGTCCTGCACCTAAACCACTGTGCCACCTGCTGGCCCCAGCTCTTGTATTTTTCTTGGATGTAAAGATAGAGTTATAAGATGAAGTGTCTTTACTTTGGTATATCTGTATTCTGTTAATAACTTCTAAAAAGTCTTTTTTACCAGAATAGACTTACTCTGGAAAAAAAGTATAAAATAAATTTTTTTAAGAGAGATTTTTGCTATAGGTCACAGGCACTTGCTGGAGAGATAGATAGTGAGAAATCACCCTTTAGGGGGGATGGCCACACCGTACTCCCTTCTCAATTCTTCTCTTGGTGCAAGTCCTGGTTCCGATGGCTTGCCTTCTCGCTTTTCTCTCAATTTTCTGTACGGCTCGTGCCCTCTTCTCTTCAGCAGGCACAGACATATGCCCAGCGTGAGTTCAAGTCTCTGGGTCTGGGACTTAAACTGCAATTGACTTTGTGGAAGTCCAATGACATAACCATTATGCTATCTGCTGGTTCCAATAAATAAAAATTTTAAAGTATAGGGGCTGGCAGGTGGCATAGTTGTTAACGGCGCTGGATTCCCTTGGCCGACTGCAATTCGAGTTCAGACCTGGCTTGCTTTCTCACTTTCCCTTTTTCTCTCTGTCTCTGTCTGTCTCTGGTAAAATTTAAAAATAATAAGAATAACAAGTGAAGGGAACCAGCAGTTAGCATAATGGCTCTGTCGCTGGACTCCCACGTAGTCAACCGCAGTTCGCATCCCGGACCCGGTGGCTTAAAACACACCAGGCGCGTGTGCGTGTGTGCCCAAGATCCCGAGAGGAGAATGGAGGAGAAGGGATTGTGGCGTGACCATCCACCCTGGGGGGTGATTTCTCGCTTTCTGTCTCTGTGTCTCTCTCTCTCTCTCTCTGTCTGGCGAGTGTATGCGCCCTATAGCGAAAACCTCTCAAAAAAAAAAGTGAAATTAAATAAATCATTATTTTAGAAATTTTTTAAAGTATGAAATAACTGATTCAATTATGTTTTTTCTTTACTCGTACATCATTTGTAAATTGCCTTTTCTCTAATGATGAAGGAAAAAAATTTATATCCTTTTTATAATTAAAGTAGTCACTTAGTTTGAGGCTTTTTTAGGAAATATTTGGAGGTATTTTTTATCTTTTTCCTAAGAGAATCATAGATGTATCAGAAAAAGTAACAGTCTGGGCCAGCAGGTGGTGTGGTGGCTAAGATGATGGATTCCCATTTGGCCTACTATAGTTCAAGTCCCAGACCTGGTGACCTGCTTTTTTAAATTCAGTGAAGCTGATTTTTATCCCCATTAAGTAAGTTTAATTATTACTTCTTTAAATGCCTTAGTTTTTGCTCTTGTCTCATTAGGAGGCTTGGGAACAGAAAGAAGATGATGACCTCAAGAGAGCTACAGAGTTAAGTCTTCAAGGTATGTAGATCTTTTTGATTTCTTTCTTTCTTTTTTTCTTTCTTTTTCATGGTAAATATACCTAGCCTGTGTGCTACAGTTGATAACATACCAGACTGCAAAGCTGGAAGTTACATGCCAATCTTGGTTTGTGCCTCTGGCCTGGTCTGTTTGAAAACATGCTAGGTATATGAGTGTATGCCCAGGATGTTGGCAGGTCGCGGGATTGGAGGAAGGGAGTTGCAAAGTGACCGGGCTCTGTTGAAGGTGCCTCTCCCTCTGTCCCGTACACACTCAAAGATTTTGAAAAAATAAAAAGTTAAATTGTAAAAGGTATTACAGATAGAAGAGCAAATGAAATGTGTTTTTGATAACAATAACAAATTTGAACACATCCCAGGAAAAAAAATAGAACCTCCTAGAAGAAACCACTATTCCAACATTTGTATTCATTTTTAGTTTCCTTTTTTTTTTTTTTTTTGGAGAGGTTTTTGCTATAGGGTGTGTGCACTCGCCAGACAGACAGAGAGAGACAAAGAGACAGAAAGCGAGAAATCACTTCCCAGGGGGGCTGGCCATGCCGCTATCCCTTCTCCTCTTGGGATCTTGGGCACGCACGCACACATGCCCGGCGTGAGTTTTAAGCCACTGGGTCCAGGACTCAAACTGCGGTCCACTACGTGGGAGTCCAGCGACATAGCCATTACGCTCACTGCTGGTCCCTAGTTTACTTTTTTTATTATTTTACCATCTATGTCCATTTCCCTAAATAGTGTATTTTTTAATTTTGAAAAATTAAACAGCAAGAATATCCTGTTTGATGAAAGATGAATATTACTGTTACTTCCAGAACACAGTGTGGCTGCAGTTTCCCCATGAGTTTTCAGCAGCTCAATCAGGAGAAGTTAGTGGGCATGGTCATGAGTGAGTATTCAGTAGAAAAAGGTTCACATAGCATGGCATTGACTATTACATGGGCCAGATACTGGAAGTCCATGGGAATATGTAGTCACAGGAACTGGGCTAACTATATCTTTTGTATCTTTTGGGTCATCACAAAAGTCATGATGCATTTTTGCATAGAAAAACAGAAAAAGTACATCATGACTTTTTTGATGACCCAATAAAATCACTTTGGGCCGATCTGGGTGGTTTAGTCTATAGCAAACTTAACTGCAGATTTGCAAGCCACATGGTCACCTGCAGGTTGGTTTCTTTTGTTTTATTGTTTTTTAGGTTTTTGTCATAGGGCACATGTGTCCACCAGAGAAAGAGAAAATGAGAAATCCCTTTTCCTCCATTCTCCTCTAGGGATTTTGGGCACCCATGCACATGTGCCCAGTGTGATTTTCAAGCCACCTGGTCTGGGACTCAGAATCACCTGGGAGTCCAGCACCTTACCACTAAACCAGCTGCTGGGCCCAGGGTTTTTGTTTTGTTTTAAGTAAATAGTCATTTGTGTAAATCCTGGGATTCTTTATTTAAAACCATTATCAAAGATGGATTTTTCCAGTGGAAGCATATTATTACAAACTGGATGTTGGATTTGTTTAGTGTATTTTAAGTGAAATTTAAAGGTTGAATTTCCACTTTTTTTTTTGTTACATTTTAAGAAATTATTGGAGCCAGCAGGTGGCATGGTGGTTAAGGCACTGGACTCCCACATGGCTGACCATGGTTCAGGTCCCAGACCTGGCAACTTACTTTCTGACCTGGTTTTCCCTTTCCCTTCCCCCCCCCCCACCTCTCTCTCTCTGGTCAAATAAAGAAATAATGATAATAAATTTTGGGAGCAGTAGATGGTGTAATGGTTACATCGCTTGATTCCACATAGCCGACTGCAGTTTGAGTCCTGGACCTGGTGACTTAAAACTCACGCAGGATGCCTGTGTATAAGTGCCCAAGATCCCAGAGGAGACAGAATTGCAGCATAGCCATCCCCCCCGGGGGGGCGATTTCTCACTTTCTGTCTCTCTAGCGAACTTTCACACCCTATAGCAAAAACTTCTAAAGAAAAAACTAAAAGAAAAGAATAAGCAATTTAATACTAAAGAGGGGCTGGCAGGTGGTGTGGTGGTTAAGAGCACTGGACTCTCACATGGCTAACCACAGCTCAATTCCTGGAGCAGGTGGCTTGCTTTCTCACTTTGTCTCTCTATCTCTCTCTCTCTCTGGTCAAACTAAAAATAAATAAATAAAGTTCAATAAAATAATTCTTTTAAAAAACTAAAGGAACTAAAGGACCTTGACTTTCTTTTTTTCTTTTTTTTATTTAGAGAGAGAGATTTTTGTTATAGGGTGCATGTGTTCACCAGAGAGATAGCCAGAAAGGAAGAAATCACCTCCCAGGGGGGATGGCCACATCACAGTCCCTTCTCCATTCTTCTCTCAGAATCTTGGGCATGCACGCACACGCACCCAGTGTGAGCTTTAAGCTGCCAGGTCCAAGACTCAAACCATGGTCGACTACGTGGGATTCCAGCAATAAAACCATTACACCATCTACTGGCCCCTTTTTATCTTTTTTTTTAATAAAGCTATTTTTTAATTACATTATTTCATTTATTTATCATTATTATTATTATTATTTGGCCACGGAGAGAGAGGAGAGTGAGAAAACGCATTGCCAGGACTTGAACTGCTGTGGGAGTCCAGTGCCTTAACAACCATGCCACCTGCTGGCCCTTGTTTTTTTCCAACATTATTTATTTATTTTAATTAGATGGGGGGATAAGGGGGAGAGAGAGGGAAAAAGTGAGAAAGCAAGTCACCAAGTCTGGGTCTGGGACTTAAACTGTGGTCAGCCATGTAGGAGTCTGTTGCCCTTAACCACCAGGCCGCCCAGTGTGTTTTGTAAGCTGTCAAGGCCATGGTATAAACTCCAATCATGGATCCAGCTACTTTATTCAGTAGGCTATGGGACTGGCCTTTACATGTTTTCTTAGGCTGATAAAATGTGTACTTTGGGCTGTTGTATCTTCCTAATTAGATCACGTATGTCTGTTCTAAGGTCTTTTACAAGATTTTGTCTTCATATTCTTTAGAATTTAACAACTCTTTTCTGGATGTATTGGGTTCTGATGAAGACTCTGGAAACGAGGATGTTTTCGATATGGAGTACACGGAGGCTGAAGCTGAGGAACTGAAAAGAAATGCTGAGGTAATATTTTATCTCTGAGTAGAATTCGCATGTCTGTGTTACTTCTCTGCTCCCTGTCTTCAGAGACCCCATTGGCAGTGCCCATTGCAGGTTTATTTCTGTTCTTTCAGCAGCCATCAGATGGTCTTCACCTTTCTTGCATACAAGGTTCAAAATAAAATGAAAACAAATATATCTTGACCACCATATATGTACATGTTTGGTAGGAACTGAGTGAAGGCATATGTATATTAAATTACCTTTAGTTATACCAAGCATCTTATTATCTATATAGTTAAATACCAAAACCAGTTGATTGCCTAGTGAAACCTGTTCAGTTAAGTGTTGGTTCATTTTTGTCTTCTTTTGGTTTTTAATTGCCAGAGGGTGCATGTCATCCCCAGAGAGAGAAAGCACCCCCTAGTGTGGCATGGTCATGCCACAGTCCATTCTCCTGCATTTCTCTATCCTGTTGGGAGTCTGGGCACATGTACCCAGCATATTTTTTTGTTTGGTTGGAGTTTTTGTTTGTTTTTAATTTGCTATAGGAGAGAGAGAGCCAGAGGGCAGGGTGGGGGCAGGTGAAGTTAGTACCCCTCACAGAGAGAAAGGGAAAGTGAGAAAGCAAGTTTCCAGGTCTGGGACTCGAACTGCAGTTGGCCATGTGGAAGTCCAGCACCCTAACTACCACACCTCTGCCAGCCCCCCTTTTTCCATCTTACAAAGATCCAGAGACATATATGCCTGGCATATTTTTCAAGCCACCGTGGCCAGACTTTGTATCACAGTTTACCATATGAGATCCGGCTTTCTATGCACTGCACTTTACTGCACTGCTGGGCCAACTATCCCTCCACAAAATTCTTTTTAATTACCCGGAATCATACTATTTCTTTTTATTATTATTTTATTTACTTACTTACCTAATATAGGGCACATGTGCTCACCAGAGAGAGAGAGAGAGAGAAAAAGGGAAAGTGAGAAAGCATACTGCCAGGTCCAGGATTCGAACCATGATCATCTGTGTGACTACAGCACCACACACTTGCTGGCCCTGAATCATACATACTTGACACAACTGTTGTTAACATTTTGATATATTCTTTTGTCATCCTTACCTCCAGGTACATTTTTTTAAGAATTATTTTTTAATTTTATTTATTCATTCTTTTTTAAGAATTATTTAATTTTATTTATTCATTCATTTATTTTAATTTGACCAGAGAGAGAGAGGGAAAGCCACCAGATCTGAGACTCAAACTGTGGTCGACCGTGTGGAAATGTCCAGCACCTTAACTACGTCACCTGGTGGTCCCACATTCATTTATTTTAATTTGACAAGAGAGCAACACAGAGAAGGAAAATGAGAAAGCCAGACACCAGGTCTGGGACTCAAACTGTAGTTGGCTGTATGGTAGTGCCCAGAGCTTTAACCACCATGCCACCTGCTGGCCCCATCATGTATGCATATGTGTGTGCCCAGAATCCCAAGAGGCGAATGGAGAAGAGACTATGGCATGGCCAACCCCACCGGGGATGGTTTCTCATTTTCTGTCTCTGTCTCACTCTGTCTTTCCAGCAAGCGCATGCGCCCTATAGCAAAAATCTTTCTAAAAAAGCAAAACAAAATGAGACTCAGGTTTTTTGCAGCTATAGCTTATGTGCATCCTTGTGGATGTGAACAAGTTAACATGTTTGCTGATCTGCATAATTTGTTTTTATATAACTGAGTAATATTATATCAAATTGATAAACCACTAACCAGTCAACTATTATTGGATATATTGTTGGTTTCAACTTTTCATTATTGTTTTTTTCTTTTGCTAGAGGATGCACTCCCGAGAAAAAAGAGAGAGGAAAAAGCACTCCCCTTGGGGCATGGTGACACCAATCCAATCCCTTTTCATCAATTTCTCCCTCATTTCAGAATTTTGGGCACAAACTCACATATGCCTAGCATGTTTCTCAGACCACTGGGTTCAGGACTCAGATTCCACAGTTGGCCATGTGGGATCCAGCTGCCTTAACCAAACAGGCCACAGAGGTGGCCCAGAACTTTTTATTATTATAGATAATACTACATCGAATAATTTGATCCATATACTCTTCTTTTGAATTATATCCTGGATAAATTTTTAGTTGAGAGCAGAATTCTTGGGTCTCAAAGGTTAAAAGTCATGCTCACTTCTGTTTTCCAGACAGGAAATCTTCCTCATTCCTACCGACTCATCAGTGTTGTCAGTCACATTGGTAGTACTTCTTCCTCAGGTAAGTGGACATCACGGTTTTAGTATTTTATAAATGTTCCTTATCATTTGTTCCTCATTATGTTGCTCTTTGCCTAGCTTCGTGAGGTTGAGTGTGCCAGGAAGAATTTAGAAATCTTTTCTTGGATCACAATATTTACGTTAACAGGTGTAACTGTTTTGATTACTCTGTTCGTATTCAAAATGCCTCTGAGCAAAATGCATTTGACAAAATTGTCCCAGGCAGTATAATCCGCCCTTAATTCTCTATACATGTATTTTGTTTTTTCATTGGCCAGAGGGTGCATGTACTCATATGAGAGAGTGAATGAATGAGTGAGAAAGCGCCCCCCATAGGGAATGGTCACACCACAATCCTTTCTCCTCCATCTTGCCCTCCTTATGAGATTTTGATCATGCACGCATATCCTGGTATGTTTCTTAAGCCATTGGGCGTGAGACTTGAACTATACAGTTGGCACCTTAACTCTCATACCATGCACAGACCTGGTACATGTTTGTTTGTTTGTTTGTTTTTTTCATTGCCAGAGGGTATGTATTCTCTACAGGGCAAAAGAGGGAGAAAAGCACCCCACTTGTGGGCTATGGTCATGCCACAGTCTCCTTTCCTCCATTTCTTAATCCCATCAGGATTTGGGGCATGCATGTACACATGATTGGTGTGTTTTTCTTTTCATTATTCTCTTTTTTTTTTTTTTTTTTTTTGAGTGATTTTGGCTATAGGGCGCATGTGCATGTGCTCACCAGAGTCAGAAAGCGAGAAATCATCCCCCGGGGAGGATGACCACACCGCAGTTTCCTCCCCTCCATTCTCCTCTCAGTATTTTGGGTATGCATGCACACATACCCAGTGTGAGTTTCAAGCTGCCAGGTCCAGGACTCAAACCATAGTCAACCACGTGGGAGTCCAACCCCCCAACCATTATACTACCTGCTGGCCCTCACCAGTGTGTTTTTCAAGCTACCAGGTCCAGGATATGAACTTTTGGCCATGTGGCTTCCAGCTCCCTTGACCAGTAGGCTACAGGGCTGGCTCTTGAATGGTTTTTAGAAATATTATTAGGAGTGAAATGGATGGAATAGCTGTTTCTCTTTCTCAAACTTCTGTACCTGAGAAAAATACAGTGTGTTTTTAAAATAAGTTTAATTTTAAGATTGTATTTGTTTCAGGTCATTACATTAGCGATGTATACGACATTAAAAAGCAGGCATGGTTTACTTATAATGACCTGGAAGTATCTAAAATCCAAGAAGCTGCTGTGCAGAGTGATCGGGATCGGAGTGGTTACATCTTCTTTTATATGCACAAGTAAGAAATTTTGGCAGATCCAAAGTTTTGGGCTAAAAATCACCTCAGCTAACTTTGAAGATAAAATGTTCTCATCACTTGATAGGTTGACAGTTTCAGGCTTGCTTATTTCTTCTGTGAGAGACAGAGATACAGAGAGCCAGGTGCCTCCAGTATGTCTTCAGACTACAATCCTCCCCCAGTCTCAGCTGGCCCAGATTATGTGCAGGTGTTCAGGAAGTTTTCCTAGGACACTAACCCAGGTCCAGTTGCGTTACTGCTGAACCACCACTTGGTTTTTGATATCTTTGTTTAGGGCTCATCTTAGTAATGCCTTATAAATTCAGAGTATTTTCTCTCTTCATTTAGCATTAATTACTCATCATACAATAGTATCTAGGAGTAGAACTTAATACAGCATTTTGTTTTTTAATAATTATCCACTTTGTTTTATTTATTATTATTTTTTAATTTCATCAGAAAGAGAAGAAAAGTGAAAAAGCAAGCACCAGGTCCGGGACTCAAATTGTGTTCAGCCTATGGGAGTCCAGCACCCTTAACCACCACACCACCTGCCGGCCCCAATCCAGTGTTTTGTTTTGTTTTGTTTTTAAAAATTATTTTAGTTATTTTAATTTGACCAGAAAGGGGTAGAGGTAGGGAGTGAGAAAGCCAGCCACCAGGTCTAGGACTCAAATCAAAGTTGGCCATGTGGGAGTCCAGCACCCTTAATCACCACCCCACCTGTCAGCCCCAATCCAGTAGTTTTTAAAGCTTTAACTATTGCCAGGTTCCACCACTCTCAAAAATCAACACCAGGGGTTAAGAAGGTATTGAATAAGTGAGCTGCTAATTTAATAAAATGTAGGCATCAAATGGTATTGTGCAGGTCTTCCCCATATCTTTTGTTTTTTTTTTTGCTTTTCTCCTACTTCTCCTTTGGTTCTGTTCACTGAATTTCTTGTTTTATTTTCTGCTTGTTTTATTTTTAGGGAGATCTTTGATGAGCTGCTGGAAACAGAAAAGAACTCTCAGGCACTTAGCATGGAAGTGGGGAAAACTCCCCGGCAGGCTTCATGAGAAGCAATCTCCTGCATTGGCAGTGTGCACTGCATGTCCTCTCACTGCCACCACCTCATCCTTCCCTTGCCCAGGAGAATTTGGAATTCTACTTGATGCGGGAGCAACAAACAGCTCAGGGCCAAACCAGAAGATGAAAATTGCAGTTGTGCAGCACGTTCCATGCTATTATATGGAAAACTTGGTCTCACATCTGTAGCTGATTATCCTCCTTTTCTCCTACAAGAGTGGCACTTCCTTTTGTCTAAAGAATACGTGTTGTAAATATACAGAGATATATGTACGCACATGCAAACACGCAGAACGATTGGAGCCTTAAAGAGTTAGGATGAGCCACCAGAGTATGCCTGCTCAAAATTATAGCACAGCAGTTCAGAGAAGAAATGAAAGTGTCAAAGAGTCCATTCACCCAAGAGGTATGCGAAGATATACACACCAGTTGGCTTTTAGCTTTTCTCTTCCTTGGGTACTTTCACTCAAATCTGTAACCTCAGTGTGTGTATATTATTAGTAAAGTTCACTGGAAAGCCAGCTCTCCATGTCACACTAATGACAGTGTGTTCTCTTTGTGAGAGGGGGGCATTGCTGTCACCTCACTTGAGCTTTTCTTTTTTCCTTTTTTTTTATTTTTATAATTTCATGAATTCGTAATGACTTTGCTGTTTACATGCAGTCCCAAGAAATGGATTGTTGGTGCTCTGGAATGTGTTGTGGTTCCATATTTGGCGTTCATCATGCCCTTTGCGTTTTCTTGAAGAGATTTTTTTCACACAGTGTGTTCATCATATATCATCTACATTATTATGGTGGTGACAATAGACTCCTTTCATTTCTTCTGTATCATTCTTTCTTGGAGCAGGGATTACCCTAATGTACTATAACCAAAACTTTAAAAGGTAGAAAGATAAAATTGCTCCAGTTGGTACTCCCCAGCAGGGATACTTAGGGATAAGAAAGAATGCTAACATCTCTGTCTTACAAACAGAGAGGTCAAGAGGGTTGTGCTTGTGTTAGAGCTAAAACTCCAGACCACTAAAGCTAAAAAGCCCTACTGCAAGTGTGAAATTAAGTACATGAGCTATAGGATAAAGCTTGAGCTTTTAATCATTTGCTACCTGGCTTTGCCCTTAAAACAGGATGGGGATTAAAATGTGATTAGGTAATCCTAAGAACTATGAAATAACAAAGGTGCATAATATATTTCTCTTACTTTTTAGGTGCTCTGAGTTGAAGCTTCGTGGGGATGTAATATCAAATGGTACATTAGTCACTTAGCTAACATAACCAGTTCAGTTAAGCAGCTTAGGAAACTATAGAAAGAATGAGTTTGAGGGTGAAATTCTGTCCACAAAATGATTTTTTGAGCCTAGCTATCATTAGGCTCACACAGAATTAAGCACAGCCAAATGAAACCGTTATTTTTTTTTTCATGATGTTTTTTTTCTTGCTGTTATTACAAATGAGATTACTCTAGTTCTAAGGTAGAGACAAAGCAATATCAGATTTTTAGGGGGTTGGGGGAGAACATTTTAAAACCCATCATCTCAAAAGATGCAAATTCTTTTCTGGAAGATTGCCTTCAGAAAGCTTCAGCCCCACCCTTAGAACTTGGATATGTTCTGACATAGTAACCTTTTCTAAAACTTTGCATCTTTGAATAGTAAATGGCCTCAGCATTTTTGCTTATTAACTACAGATAAATGTTTTGCCTCCTCCCATCTGCGTACACACATTATTGTAGTGAATGTTTCAAGATGATACACTGGTAAGCTATATAGTAGTTTAGAGCAGAGGAAAATATTTGTTTTAAAAACGTACTTAAAAATTTTCATTTCTACCAGGACTGCTTTTGGTTTGGTTTGGTTTTGCCTGAAAATAACTGATTTTCTCATAAGTGAGTGAAATGATGATCAAATTCTTTAGCTAGTTATTACTTCTCTGGCTTTCTTCATTTGAGAACTTTTGAGAGGCACTGTTAAAAACTGACGAGAAATATTTTGAAGTGAAGGCTATATTGAGATGTGGAGAAAAATAAAAATAATGCCAGAGCCTAGCCTGCCTCATAGAGCAACCTTATTTGAGTTGATTTCATAGCTTGCATGTGTGTATGTATGGTTTAGAAGTACACTTGGCTCAGAAACCTGATTTAATTTGGTCTTCGTTTCTTGGGCAAGACTTGTTAGTTGAACATAGGTTACTAGAGTTTATGAATTAACTCACTGCTCATATACTTACAAGTTCGGGACTTGAATCTTACTTGATACTTGTCCATCGCTGTGGCCTTGTCAGCCTTCCCGTCTCCCTGTACTCCCTTGACTTACTCCTGTGACTACAAATGGAGGTTTCAGCTGGACCATGTTGATGGAGTTTGTTGGGTTTGTTTGTTTGTTTGTTTGTTTTTGAGCTGACTGTATATATTTGAAAAATATAAATAGATAATATATATATATTTTTTGCACAGTGTGATCAGTTTGTCCAGAATCAGGAAATGGAGCAGTTAGCATGTTGGGGCCAGGAAGGGATAAGTTAGAACAGAGTGCTTCAGTTTTAGGGAGTCTGCATAATAATTAACCTTCCTATCAAAAATACCAAATGTGTGGTTACATTATTTAAAATGAAAGTGAATTGAAACTTGATAGCAGTTAGTTCTGGATACAACCTTTTGATATTAGAATTTGAAAATTTTTGGAAGGGAAAAATAAGTTAAACTTTGATCCTCCCATACCCCCAATATTATAAAAAGTGCAAGCAGCTAGATGCTGTTATTCCTTTAGTAGCCATGACTATAACTTAGGCCTATGAGAAGACAGACTATATGTTGTTGGGACATATATGTGTGTGCACATTTTTAAGTTTT